GGGGTGGGGAAAGTAAAACTCGATGTTTTGAATGTTGGGAACATTGGAAAGAGGAGAAGTCGTGGCCAGATATGATGATGTCAGTGACACCATGTGATGGAATCATGTGCTTTCTTTCTCTTTCATCTTTTACTTAGATTGTTATGGCAATTTGAGTGTCAAAGCTGTATGTGTATGTTATAAGACTGATAAATTATTGTAATTTTCAGTTTGGCAAATGTATAAAAGAAGAAGGTAGGAAACTATACAACGAAGAAGAGTATAGAGTTGGTGAGATTTGTCAAATCCTATGTACTCGTGCGAACAACGTTCTGTAATTTCAAACTAACAAGTTGAAGTTGGTCAAACAGAGAAGGTTAGGGTTTTGGGTAGGTGGGGAGACTGATCAGAGTTTTGAACTTGTTAATGGCTGCTGGATCACAGTTGATTCAAGTTTTAATAAGCTGTCACAACTGGATTATGAGTCAGGATTAGTGTGGACCTGTTGTCCTTTGTGTACTTGACAGCTTACATGGCCATCCAAAGCCTTGCATTGCTATAAAATAGAAGCAGGTGAAGTGAATTTATTACATTAATGGATTAATTTATCATATTTATAGATACTGTTATGATATTTTAAAAAATGATAAGAATAATTATCATAATAGTAATAAAAATATTCACAAATATGATAAAAATACCCACAAATGTAATAAAAATATTCAAAAATATGATAAATTTTTTTTGTATCAAAAAAAGTGGTAAAAATAATTATTACAAATGTGTTAAAAAGACCCCACAAAAATAATAAATTATCCATAAAAATAATAATTTTTTTGATTAAAAATAATTCACAAAAATTATAAAAATACTCATAAAAATAATAAAAATTAGAAGTACCATATTAAAATTATTACGTCGGACCGTAGTCAACTCCTAATTTACCAAAGCAAAAGACAAACAACACTACGTGTCATTGCAAGCAGGTGAACCCCGCTATATATTCCAACGACAATTAGTTTAGAACTAATGTCACTTTGCACTCTAAAAGATGCTTAAACTCTCAATTTACACTATCAAATATTAAAAATTTAATTTACACCATAAATATTATGAATTAATAGTAATGTGAATATTGCTTCGGCTACCATTTAATTTTTCATCATAAATTGAAACACGTGAATGTCAAGTGCTTCGGCCATGAACTTATGCATAAATTCACAGACTTTTGACACCTCATGTGAGTTATATATAATAAGAGTAAATGCTATATGGACTTAAAAATTAGATTTAAAAATTAGACTTGATAAATTTCAACTATTGAATAGGTAATGAGTCATAATAAATGTTGGGANTTTTAAGTTTATGTAGCATTGCTTATATGATAGACTTAACCTCTATTTGATTAACGAAACTTTATTTTTGATACAAAAAACGATGTTAAATTGATCGCAGACGAAAATCTACAACAATGGACATCCCTCATCCTTATGCACTTGTAACTCATGTCCTTCAATTTATGGCAGCAAATTGAATACCAGTATGAGCAAGGTCCATATTGTTACCAATTCATAACATTGAGAGTGCAAATTAAAATTTTTAAATTTCAATGGTACAAATTGAGAATTAAAATATCTTTTGAGATGCAAAGTAATATTAGCCCTTAATTTATTACCATTTTGTAAATACGGAGAATATGAATTTATTACAAGCTTGAGTGCAAAATTGTAAAGCATTTAACCAGTTTTAGTAGGCCCATGAAGCATTCTCAAAGTTGGGCTTCATCTTGATTAATTAGGGTTTAGTAGGCCCATGAAGCTTTCTCAAATTTGGGCTTCATCCAGATTTACAGGGCTTACCGGGCCCATGAAGCATTGTCCAATTGAAAATCCGACCCGTCCCATCTCACTACCATGGCAAAGCAAAAAATTTACAAAGAAACCAATCCCGCCGCCATTAAGATGCCTCGTACCTTGAAAGAAATAAGTCGCGCCTTGAAGAGATGATTTCCAGAACATTCCGATTTTCCGCTGGGCTCTTTGAACCCCAATGGCATTTTGGTAAAAGTATATTAAGTAAATTACACTTTATCAGGCGAGCTATTTATCTTTATTTTACTTTGTACCTTCAATTATAAAAATTTTTATGCTATACTCTAAAGTGTTAATTTTATTTCATATCACTTTAATAAATAACTACAAACTTAAAAATTTGTCAAATNCCGCGAGCTATTTATCTTTATTTTACTTTGTACCTTCAATTATAAAAATTTTTATGCTATACTCTAAAGTATTAATTTTATTTCATATCACTTTAATAAATAACTACAAACTTAAAAATTTGTCAAATGAATGAGGGTAATTTCAATGAGCTTCATGTCAAATGCCTAAAATCACTTTATTTGACATCTTTTGTAACAAAATGGTTGCTGAGAAGAAAAAAAAGTCAATCGAAAGAAGAAAATTTAGAGTTTAGAACAAACAAAGTCATAAATTAGTATTTTTCTTTATTTTTTTCCTATACATGTATAATAGACGGATGTTTATTGTAATTATAGATTACTCACATTCGTATTTATCGTAAAAAAATTAATATTTTTTTATTCATTGGAGTTATATAAAATAAAATTAATATTTTAAGATGTAATGTGAAAAATTTTATAGTTGAGGATATTAAATAAAATAAAGATAATAGTTGAAGGGTTAAAGTGTAATTTATCCAAGTTTATTCACAAAACAACAATGGCATTTTGGTAACTTCATTGGAAGCCTCCAAACACGACCGTTTGACTAATGAANTAAAGTGTAATTTATCCAAGTTTATTCACAAAACAACAATGGCATTTTGGTAACTTCATTGGAAGCCTCCAAACACGACCGTTTGACTAATGAACGCTGATGTGGTGGGTGAAATTGACGAAAAAAGGACGTGGGTGAGCAGCAGTGTAAAAAAATTCTCACTAACTTTCTCTCGGTCCTTCGCCAAATTCCATCTTGGAGAAGAAAAAAACACACACACAGTGAGGATCGTAATCGGAAGAGATGGGGTGGATGAGTCGATTTCTGGCGGCAGTGACATTCTTGGCGATCGGAGTTATTTTCTCGCCGGAAACCTTCGGGTCAAAATCGGACGGTCAGCATACGCCAAAGCTCATCACCTTCCTCAAACTGGCCCACCTCCTCTGCTTTTCCACAGCCTGGGGCGCTGCTTTATGGGTCACCTTCATCGGCGGCATCATAATGTTCAAGTAATAAACACTCTACCTTCCAATTTGCATTTTCTTGTACACTCTCCGGTAAAAAAAATGGTAGCTAAATCACATCTTGAAAATTACTGTATGATATCTATACTTTTAGGAATTTACCGAGGCATCAGTTTGGTAATTTGCAAAGCAAGATGTTTCCGGCATACTTTTCGATGGTTGGTGTGTGTTGTGCTGTGTCGGTGGTGTCTTTTGGCTACTTACATCCGTGGAAGACTTCGTCCACTTCCGAGAAGTACCAGCTTGGTTTCCTTCTCGCTGCTTTCGCATTCAATCTTACCAATCTTTTTGTCTTTACGCCGATGACCATTGAGGTAAACAACTCGCAGCAGTTAATTTATGTTGCTCGTCACTGAATAGTTATTTTTTGTTCAAACAATTCTCATTCTGACACGAATTTTGCTTGATTTAGTACAGTCTAAGCAGCTATCTTTAGGGTTCAATTACCTTGACATGAGGAAGACAATTTTGTATGAAAAAAAACATGTCTTTATTTAGAGGTTTTGCCGATTATTGAATTTCATAATGAGTTATAATTTAGTTAATTTAGAGCTTAAGACTATGCAAAAATGCGGCATTGTTGGTTTGTTGATGAACTATTCAACTATTCTTTAATTTGGGAATGTTGCTGCAAGGACAGATTGATTTATGGCTATCCAGTTCAGTGCTCTCGTTTTTTCTCTTTTATGTTATATAAATATTTGATTTATGTCCTAAGTGGTGTCTGGTGTTGAGTAATTGATTCTATTAAGTTTAGCAATGGTGAGTTATATTGTACTCCTAATCTGATTGCTAGAGAAAAGCTATGATTCTCTTCTGCTTCATTCCTCACCTGGTTAGTCCGGTTCTGACTTCTGTCTCTTGAAGTGTCGCTGGATTTTGTGTTTAGCATGTGAAAATTTTTTGTTTCTTGTTGTGGTGTAGCTGATGAAGCAAAGGCACAAGGTGGAGAAAGAGGTGAATATTGGAGAAGAAGTTGGGGGGACTAAGAATCAAGAAGTTGCAAAGGCAAGTCCAAAACTTGCATCAATGAACAAGAAATTTGGAATGATTCATGGACTATCTTCTCTTGCTAATATCATGTCTTTTGGTAGCCTCGCGATGCATTCGTGGTATCTGGCGGGTAAAATCGATCTTTAAATTGACTTCCATTTCCCTGTTGTTGAAGCAACTGGCCTTAGTTATATGCTATGTTGAATAATCAAGGTTCCTTTTGCTTCTTTTCTGGGATATCAGTTCTCATTGTTTCTGTGCTGAGTAATGTTGAACTGAAAAATGTATTGAGGAAAGAAATACTTGTCTCATTGTATACTTATATGTAATATTTCATGGTAATGCCCAGTAAAATACCCTTGTAGTTAGGCAGTTTGAACCTGATGTGGAAATGAAATAATATTATTGTGTTACTTATTGCATTGGTTCCAAGTCATTTTTTTTTTTAACTTACATGGCTGATCAAAACAAAAACAAAACAGGGGTGGGGGGAGAGAGAGGAATTAGCTTAACTATCAATTCATTTAGATATTTCGGTGAGTAGCATCCTCATATCATATCATATCAGCATTCTGTTGATGATTCCCAAGGTCCCAGAAACCATTAGCACTTCATTCTAGTTTTCATATGATATTTTGATTCTTGAATTCCTTGGTTGCTTATCTTCAAATGTAAAAGTTGAAGATATGGTTGGATATAGTGGACAAATATATTGTAAGAAATCAAGCTCGAGCAATAAGTTTTTTCGGGAGGTAAATAAATTTATTAAACTAAAAAAATATGATATACAATGAAGTTCAAAACACGCCAAAAAAAAAAAGGTCACATGAAGCAATACTTAGAAAGTTTACTCCGTTGATATACCTATATATAAAATAATATCTCACAACCTGAGACTAGGTACAAAAAGCTAGAACGAGTCCGTAAGTCTAACTACACCTTCTAAATACTGAGGAGGAGCCTTTAACCTCTACTGATGATCCTTAATATTTGAGGTATTGATATTTTATCTTTTAGCCTTCAGACTTTGAATCCTGCCATGAAGTGTTCTCTTGTCTTTCTCTTTAGATGAGAGACCCCATTCAAGATCATCATCAAAGGAATTATCAAGATCTTCTTCCAACTCCTCAACATTGTCATTTTCCTCCCCATGGGAAGTGTTCTTTCATTTTATCTTTTTTAAGTTGGCAATTACTCTTAAGCTCTAGAGGAGGGCTCGAGCAAAGAACATTAAAAGGATTTGAGAATGATTCTCCTCTATTAATGTTTCTAGTTCCTTCCACCGGAGACACCTCCATCTTATCTTTTCTTTTGTTTTTAGGAGCATCACGCCATTCATCAATGCAAGGCTCTCTAGTTCTGACTTCCTTTGTTCTTCAAATTTGAGGATTATCTTGTTTAGGAGTTAATGGGCAACTAACATTGGAATGACCAAACAATTTGCACGTTGAACATTTTCGAGGCATCCAAGAGATTTCAACTAATATTTCATGTGTAACCTCAGCTATCTTAATTTTGAAGTACTTTGGAATGTCATTAAAACTATCAATCTCAATACACATCCTTGCAAAGTCTACTCCTAGAAAGATTGGGAGAATCAAGGTGCAAAGGTTTTTCAATAATGCTACCTAAGTAGCCAAAACCTCCTCTTCAGTCACATTAAAAAGCTTGACCCATATTGGAATGTTGGAAAATTCAATTTTCGTTAGATTAATATTTGGACTTAAGATAAATGTNTCCTCTTCAGTCACATTAAAAAGCTTGACCCATATTGGAATGTTGGAAAATTCAATTTTCGTTAGATTAATATTTGGACTTAAGATAAATGTGAGTAAAAGGGATACTCAAATTAAGAGTAGGGCCCCGTATATATAGCCAAATAATAATACAAAGTGACCTAAACATCTTAGTGGTCTAAGCCAAAATATAAAAGTCATAGGAAGGATAAAAAAGGGAAAAAAAATCCTAATAATCTAGGCTATAACTCCAACACTCCCCCTCGAGCTAAGCACAAAAATATCAACTAAGTCAAGCTTGACAACTGAATCATGAAGAATAGATAGAGTGACAGGTTTGGTGAAAACATCCGTAACCTGATCACTAGTTCCCACAAACAATGGAGTGACAATATTATGGCTAACCTTCTCCTGAAGAAAGTGAACATCGATCTCTATATGCTTTGTCCTCTCATGTAGTATAGAGTCGGAAGCGAGCTGAATAGCAGGTCGATTATCACAATATAATATGGATGGAGAAATCTCTGGAAATCTCAACTCGCCAAGAATTGATCGTAGCTAGATAATCTCACACGTGTTAAGTGTCAGTGCTCGATACTCTGTCTCTACTGACGAGCGAGAGACAATTGCCTGCTTCTTACTNGTTGTTTTTTTTTAATTGTCATTCTGCTTCTTTTTTTTTTGTTGCTAATTCTACTGTTGTCCTGATTCTGCTTCTTTTGTTGTCCTACCCTGTCAATATGAAAATGTATACAATTGTTAGTATTTGTTTGAATTTAAATGTTTAAATTATGACTGTTATTAAGATTTGAGATATTATTAGTGTTTTTTTTAATTTAAATGTTTATGGTTTTACTTGCATTTAAATATTNGCTCCCCTATAATCTGAATCTGAATAACAGGTTAGAGAACTAGTCTGAGATCCTGATGCATAGAACAACCCAAGTCTAGGACAAGACTTGAGGTACCGAAGAATATGATAAACTGCATTAAGATGAGGCTGACACAGCCTGTGCATGAACTGACTAACTCGGCTGATTGCGAATGAAATGTCTGGCCTAGTGTTGGCTAAGTAGATAAGTCTACCGACTAACCTCTGATAGACTGTCGGATCTTTTAACTCCTCATCTTCAGCAGTAAGCTTCAGGTTTGGAATCATAGGTGATGATGCCAGTTTGCACCCCAGTATCCCAGTGTCTGAAAGAAGATCCAGAACATACTTTCTCTGAGAAAGAACAATACCCCTACTACTACTGGCAACCTCCATCCCAAGAAAGTATCGCAGAAATTCAAGGTCCTTCACATCGAAGGCCTTCCCAAGGTCTATCTTGACCTGTGCAGTCCCAGAAATATCATCACCAGTAATAATAATATCATCAACATATACCAGAACGATGACACACTGTCCAAAAGTATTCTGTCGAATAAAGCAAGTATGATCAAAATGACATCTGGTGAACCCCAATCGTACGACTACATCACTAAAGTAAGAGAATCAGGCTCGTGCTAACTGTTTTAGTCCATAAAGAGACTTACGCAATCGACATATCTTTCCAGCATACTCCCCTCACCACGAAAGCCCGGTGGTGCATCCATATAAATAATCTCGTCCAGATCACCGTGAAGAAATGCATTCTTCACATCTAACTGATGAAGGGGTCAAGTGTACTCCGCAGCCAGAGAAATAATCAATCGAACAAAAGTCAATTTTGTCACGGGGGCAAATGTAGCACCAAAATCACGACCTGGTACCTGAGTAAAGCCCTTAGCCACAAGCCTAGTCTTGTGACGATCAATAGTACCATCCGTAAAAAATTTTAAGGTGTAAACCCAGCGACAGCTAATAGGCTTCACCCCTGAAAGTAAAGAGACAAGATCCCACGTATGATTACGCTAAAGAGTATCCATCTCCGTCTGTATTGGTAATAACCCATTGGGGCTCCCGTATAGCCTCTGAAACAGAGCGAGGAACTGACGTATCCGATAAGGTCATACTATAAACTCGAACTGTAGGAGACAGATCATCATAAGAAACAAAAGTAGAGATCGGATATTAAGTCCTGGCAGTCCAACCATAACGAACAACTAGACGGCGATCACGCCGCGGATAACGACGCCCTAAATTATCATCCTCCATTGACAATGTCTCATCAGATAAAGTAACTGGCTCAGTACCTACAATCTCATCAGTATTAACAACAGGTGCATCAATATGCTCAACGAACTGTGAAGTATATTACCTGCATCGCCTGAGGTAGAGGGAACATCAGCAAAGGGATGAGAGCGAGGGCGACGAACATAAACCTGCAAAGGAAGAGAGATTGGTGACTCTGTACTGACAGGGATAAGTGACTCTAAAGAAGGAGAGACTGATGACTCTGTAGTGATAGTGATCAATGGTTCTGGCTCCTGTTGTAACGGAAAATTAAAGGGAGGATCATCAACTAAAGGGCAGACACAAGATTGGAAGAAAAATTAGAAATATGCTGAAGGAAGGTAACATCTAGACTGTGATGCATACGTCACCTAATAGGATCATAACACCGTTACCCCTTAGACTGATGACAATAGCCCACAAAGACACAACGAATCGTTTTATCATCAAGCTTTTTACGAGTAAGAGACCGATCCTGAACAAAACATGTGCAGCCAAAAACACGAGGGGGGACAGGAAAAAGTGTTCGATTAGGGAATAAGACCTGTAAGGGAGTCCTATGTTGAAGAACACGACTTGGTGTACGATTACACAGAAAAGTAGAAGTCAAAACAGCAAAATGTCAGTAAGATTTTGATACCCCCATACCTCTAAGCATATAACGTACCATCCCTATCAGACTCTTATTTTTCCTTTCTAGCAACTCCATTTTGCTTAGGAGTATATGGACAAGTGAGCTGCTGAAGGATACCCTAAGGAGAAAGGTGAAACATTAAGGCATCAGACACATATTCTTTGACATTATCCGAACGAAGAGCACGAACAATGACATCGAATTGTGTCTTAATCACCTGGAGAAATTGAGTGATGACAGGGAGTACATCCGACTTCCTATGCAAAATGTAGACCCAAGTACAACGGGTATGGTCATCTATAAATGTCACATAATATCGAGCACCTGACAGAGCAGTTACAGGAGAGGGTCCCCAAATATCAGAGTGTATTAGGTCAAATGGTTTGGGTGGCTAGTGCATGCGAGAAATATAACTAGTCCGAACACGTTTTGATAGGGAACATATAACACAGTCAAGTTTATCACTAACACAAGCTTTGCTCTAAACAAGAAATAACATACATAAATATTTAAAATTTGTATGCCCAAAACGGTCATGCCATAANTGTATTAGGTCAAATGGTTTGGGTGACTAGTGCATGCGAGGAATATAACTAGTCCGAACACGTTTTGATAGGGAACATATAACACAGTCAAGTTTACCACTAACACAAGCTTTGCTCTAAACAGGAAATAACATACATAAATATTTAAAATTTTTATGCCCAAAACGGTCATGCCATAATTGAACAGTTTGTGATGAAAAATTATAATGACAAGTATTAAGTAAAATACTAGCATGCAAGCTAAGAACAGATAAAGACAAAGCAGGTGACGGAAGTGGAGGTGGAGAAACTGATGAAATCGGAGGGGGATCGCCTAGATAATATAGTCCATCTCTCTCATGTCCCCAGATAATAATCCTTCTGGTACTCAGGTCCTGCAAATAACACGAATCAGATAAGAACACAATTGCACAGTGAAAATCTCTGGCTAACTGATGTACAGATAATAGATTCATGGCCAGCTTTGGCGCATGAAACACCGAACGTAATGTAAAGCCATCTGGGAGGCGGACTGTACCCCTACTAACAATAGGGGTATGTGTCCCATCTGCTAACTGAACTTAAGTATGTAACTGCTCGTCAAAAGAGATGAAATGATGGGCCTCACCTGTCATATGACCATTCGCACCCGAGTAAAAAAGGGAGACGGACTGGCGCAACTATGAAAGGCAGGAGGTATACCTGTAGTAGTCGCAGCAGTAGTAGTCGAACCTTGAGAAGTCAGGGCTGACTTAAGTATATCCAAGTGAGAAATGATAGCATCCATATTACTCTGCCAAGAAGGAGCAATAACAGTAGTAGCAGGAGCAGTGACTGTAGGTAGTGGTGCCTCAGCAGTGGCAGCAGTACGGCTGCGAGGAGGCGGCTTAAGCTCTGGATGGAGCTTCCAACAAGCAGCCCTCTAGTCGAACTGTAGCGACAGATAAAGAAGGTCCAGAAAGCTCCCAAATAATTAGATCACGGTGCCCAGAAATCCAATAAAGATAAATAAGTGATCTACTACATCAAAACCAGATCAACGGAGAAGAGGATTCAACCCCTCTTAAAAGGTCCTACGATCCCAAATAATCAGGCACACAAAGCAAAACACGAAACTGTGACAAAGAGCGTGACGCAGCTGGTTCGCTCGGGTGAGTATTGTGTTGGGTTTGGGCCTAGACTGGGCAGTGGACTGTGGGTAGTGGGCTGGGTTTATTGGGTTAATTTATTGGATATTTGGGTGTTGAAGGATTATGAGAATCACGTGTGGGTGAAAGAGTATAGCATTGATATGAATGGGTTTGATGATGGGCTGCTGAAGTGGATCATTCCTCTGGATCAACGGGATGGAGAAATATTGATGGATGAGAAGCAAGAGAGTCTTGACTACTATGATGTGGACAACAAAAGCTTCAAAAGAATGGACAATCTGATAGCAGGCAAATGGACATGGCTGCAGATTTACACTGAGAGCTTCTCTCCCTTGGATGTCGCTGGGTTTGTTGGGTTAATTTATTGTTTGCTGGTTTGGTGGGCTGGGTTTATTGGGACTTGGGTTGCGTGCTGGTTGGTTTGATCTGTCGGTGGGTGTGGACAGTAAAGTATGCTCTGTTGGTGGGCAGTGACAGGCTGATTTTGTTGCAGGCTGTTTCGCTATGGATTCACAGGTTTGATGGTTTCGGTATGGACTGGGTAGGCTGATTTTGTTGCAGGCTGTTTCGCTGTGGATTCTCAGGCTTGATGGTTTCGGTATGGACTGGGTAGGCTGANTCTCCCTGCTACTGCTACTAGGGTTTAGTTGGTGGTGCACATGTTCTGGCGGTGCTTAACCTCAATGTGTCCCTTGAACATTTTTTTTTTGGTTGCTTCAACGATTAATGGTGTTTAAACTAATTTATGCGTACTTTGATTAACCTTCTTTCCAATTAGGTCAAAGGCAGACCATCCATTGTCTAGTCTTAAGGAATAGTCAAGATTAAAATTTAATTAGAATTACTTTTTAAACTTCAAACTAGTGAGATATGATTCTCTTTTTTGGGTCACGTGTTGGGCCCAGGTTTATCACAAACAGAGTGTTAAGTCACATTCATGACTTGTGGATTTCTCTGCATCGGTCCATTTCCACCTTTTTCAGTTTCTTTCCCTACCTTTTGGATATTTTCTTATTAAAAGGCAATAAAAATCTTGCAAATTTTATCAAGAAAAAAAAGGAAAATTATGGAAACTTGACTTGAGGAAGAGAATAGCAATACCATATAGAAAAAAAAAAATCGAGATCATGCTGAAAAATGAACCTTGATCATAAAGTTTGATTTGAGTTTTTAATAACCATTGATCGTTAAAATAATAAAATAAAATAAAATATTAAAATTATAAGAAGAAATAAGAAAAATACGGTACTAAAAATTATTTTACGGTACCAAAGTCCAATCCCAAGGAAGAAGGCATGAAAGATCTAGTTCGCCAATTTTGGCCTAGACAACGGGGTAGAAACTTGCTTGCTGAATAGTAGATGAGGAAGAGTTTGACATCCATGTCCATGTCCACCCAAGCAGGCTTGATCTGCTTTGTTGGATGGATAGGCACTCGGAAGTAATTCAGCCAGTTTAGACTGTAGACTCCTATTTTGTCACCAATTGAGCTCTGGGTCGACCAATTTGTCGCAATATGAGCTGATGGCGCAACCCCTAGCAGACATGTGTGAATCTGCAATGTTCTTTGCATGCCACAATGAGTGGTCCCAAATGAATTTTCTAGCTTGCCTTCTCAATTTGGTTCCATTCACCTCGTTTTTTCACGAAAGAACACTATGCTCAAGAAAAATTATCTTTTTGTTCAAAATGAGAAACGTGCTAAATTTTGGTAACTAGAATTACGAGGCAAGTCGATTTATATTATTTCAAGTCATATCATATTTGGGTTATGCCATTTTTTATTTTTATCGTGTTCATGTTAGTATTTATACTTACAAAAAAAAATTAAAAGCGTTTAATTTTCCAGGAGCAGCGTTTAATTTGGACATATTGTTCAGAAGCCCTGTTATTTTCCAAATTTCTGGATACCAACAAATAAGTTTCTTCTTCAAAATGAGAAACCTGCTAAATTTTGGCAACTTTGTATGGTGGTTATTAGCTTATGTTAGGTGTAGTTTATAGGTGTTTCAATAATTGCTAAGATTGATTGAGATGGTAAGGGTGATAGTAGAGTAGCTATTGTCGTCTTCATACCAATGAAGATATCGTGTTTATTGCACCCACGCAAGATCTCCCCCTCAACCTTTTCACATCATCAATAAAAAAAACAAAAACAAAATAACCGAAAAAAAAATGCATTAATCAACCAATCCTCTGGTAACCTGTAAATAGTCACTGATAGTGCAGTAAACCAATATAAAAAGAAATGGCAAAACTACATCTAGCAAAAAATAGAAAAAGGCACAATTCTCACATANATAGTGCAGTAAACCAATATATAAAGAAATGGCAAAACTACATCTAGCAAAAAATAGAAAAAGGCACAATTCTCACATAGAAATAGAGATGTAAATGGGTTTATTTTCATTGATTTTCAAATGAATTTTTTTTTTCTACATGCCAATCTTTTAATTCCCCATCTCCAAAACAGGGGAACATGAATTGCTGTAACAACCAAATGAACAATGAATCATCTACTCTTATATTGTAAACCATGCACCTCAGACTCTAAAGTTAATCCCCTGGTGTTTATCTAACAACCAATTCCAGCATCACCAACTAATTAACGGAAATTGATTACGCTATATGCACCAACGATCAACAACCGTGCAGGAAACAGGAGCACCACAAGCAAATGCATGTGCTGCGATGCAACAAGCCTACTAAACCTGTTCAAAGATTCTCGGCCAGTTTGTAACACGCCCGAGAAGTTGAATTGACCTTGGCCCATGTTCGCTGATACCGGAGACCTCCCCATAATGCTGTTACCAGCATCAATGCTGCGTGCTACAAGAGGCCACCAAAATTTGCGACGGTGCTCTCTCCTAGCTTTCCTCCTACGGATGAGCTCCTGGCGGACTACACTGCGAACAGATTTCCAGTAAGAGTTCATGTCGTGATCTCTTTGAATGGTTCCCCCGGAACCATATGCCGAACGGTCACTTAAGATTTCAAGTGGATGCGGTGAGTTTAAGAACACAGCCTGTGCAGCACGCACCTGCTTCTCTGCCTCACTGGCGTCTGACACTGGGCATCTCAATAGATATAGCCCACTGCCGGAGGGAAGGAGATCATGGTTGGGAGACAATTTCTCATCTGGCTGTAGAATCAGAAACTCCCCCATTGGAGCATACAACAGCCTCTGTTGCATAACAAAACACTAGTTAAACTTAAGTGGTCAAATATGAAGTAATAGTATCAGAGATTGGGTTTTGCATATTAATGACTTCACCTGGTTATTGAGACATGGATGACCCCGAAAGTTTCGATTGACTGCCTTAAGAAGCTCTGCAACATGATTGGGGTAATGGCAAGAGAAGGCTCTAGGTACAATGTCTCGGTGCATTGTGACTGCCTTGATATGGCCTTGAGGCAATCCAAGCTCACGAAGCAGGCGATCCCCTCCACACATAATAGATGGTGCCCCAAACGTTATAACGGGAAGCAAGGAAGAAGGAAGGACTTCCCCCCTAATCAACAGCATGAGATTTACAAGCAGCGACAAGCTACCGCCGAGAGAGTGCCCCGTAAAACGGAACATGGCGCGATCACCATGAAATCTTAGATGCGCACGGACTTCAGGCAGCATCTGCTCATNGACTTCCCCCCTAATCAACAGCATGAGATTTACAAGCAGCGACAAGCTACCGCCGAGAGAGTGCCCCGTAAAACGGAACGTGGCGCGATCACCATGAAATCTTAGATGCGCACGGACTTCAGGCAGCATCTGCTCATNTGCAACCCCTAGCAGACTTGTGTGAATCTGCATGTTCTTTGCATGCCACAATGGGTGGTCCCAAATGAATCTTCTAGCTTGCCTTCTCAATTTGGTTCCATTCACCTCGTTTTTTCACGAAAGAACACTATGCTCAAGAAAAATTATCTTTTTGTTCAAAATGAGAAACGTGCTAAATTTTGGTAACTAGAATTACGAGGCAAATCGATTTATATTATTTCAAGTCATATCATATTTGGGTTATGCCATTTTTTATTTTTATCGTGTTCATGTTAGTATTTATACTTACAAAAAAAAATTAAAAGCGTTTAATTTTCCAGGAGCAGCGTTTAATTTGGACATATTGTTCAGAAGCCCTGTTATTTTCCAAATTTCTGGATACCAACAAATAAGTTTCTTCTTCAAAATGAGAAACCTGCTTAATTTTGGCAACTTTGTATGGTGGTTATTAGCTTATGTTAGGTGTAGTTTATAGGTGTTTCAATAATTGCTAAGATTGATTGAGATGGTAAGGGTGATAGTAGAGTAGCTATTGTCGTCTTCATACCAATGAAGATATCGTGTTTATTGCACCCACGCAAGATCTCCCCCTCAACCTTTTCACATCATCAATAAAAAAAACAAAAACAAAATAACCGAAAAAAAAATGCATTAATCAACCAATCCTCTGGTAACCTGTAAATAGTCACTGATAGTGCAGTAAACCAATATAAAAAGAAATGGCAAAACTACATCTAGCAAAAAATAGAAAAAGGCACAATTCTCACATAGAAATAGAGATGTAAATGGGTTTATTTTCATTGATTTTCAAATGAATTTTTTTTTTCTACATGCCAATCTTTTAATTCCCCATCTCCAAAACAGGGGAACATGAATTGCTGTAACAACCAAATGAACAATGAATCATCTACTCTTATATTGTAAACCATGCACCTCAGACTCTAAAGTTAATCCCCTGGTGTTTATCTAACAACCAATTCCAGCATCACCAACTAATTAACGGAAATTGATTACGCTATATGCACCAACGATCAACAACCGTGCAGGAAACAGGAGCACCACAAGCAAATGCATGTGCTGCGATGCAACAAGCCTACTAAACCTGTTCAAAGATTCTCGGCCAGTTTGTAACACGCCCGAGAAGTTGAATTGACCTTGGCCCATGTTCGCTGATACCGGAGACCTCCCCATAATGCTGTTACCAGCATCAATGCTGCGTGCTACAAGAGGCCACCAAAATTTGCGACGGTGCTCTCTCCTAGCTTTCCTCCTACGGATGAGCTCCTGGCGGACTACACTCCGAACAGATTTCCAGTAAGAGTTCATGTCGTGATCTCTTTGAATGGTTCCCCCGGAACCATATGCCGAACGGTCACTTAAGATTTCAAGTGGATGCGGTGAGTTTAAGAACACAGCCTGTGCAGCACGCACCTGCTTCTCTGCCTCACTGGCGTCTGACACTGGGCATCTCAATAGATATAGCCCACTGCCGGAGGGAAGGAGATCATGGTTGGGAGACAATTTCTCATCTGGCTGTAGAATCAGAAACTCCCCCATTGGAGCATACAACAGCCTCTGTTGCATAACAAAACACTAGTTAAACTTAAGTGGTCAAATATGAAGTAATAGTATCAGAGATTGGGTTTTGCATATTAATGACTTCACCTGGTTATTGAGACATGGATGACCCCGAAAGTTTCGATTGACTGCCTTAAGAAGCTCTGCAACATGATTGGGGTAATGGCAAGAGAAGGCTCTAGGTACAATGTCTCGGTGCATTGTGACTGCCTTGATATGGCCTTGAGGCAATCCAAGCTCACGAAGCAGGCGATCCCCTCCACACATAATAGATGGTGCCCCAAACGTTATAACGGGAAGCAAGGAAGAAGGAAGGACTTCCCCCCTAATCAACAGCATGAGATTTACAAGCAGCGACAAGCTACCGCCGAGAGAGTGCCCCGTAAAACGGAACGTGGCGCGATCACCATGAAATCTTAGATGCGCACGGACTTCAGGCAGCATCTGCTCATATATCCCCTTTGCAGCCTCATATATACCTCTATGCACAATCACATCCAGTCCCTAAACAATATGACATTCTACTATTTCAGTTAATTGAACAAATATGGAGACTGCCTTATACTGGACATTTATAAACCTTAACTAAACAGCTCCATCCGTTAAAATATCGTGCCGATTTTGCAAAGTCATCTTTTAACACCCTAAAACCCAACTCAGAAGTAAACCACCTAAGAAACAAAAAGGCATTGTGAAATGTGTGTATGAAAACTACCTCAAACTGAANACGTTAATATATCGTGCCGATTTTGCAAAGTCATCTTTTAACACCCTAAAACCCAACTCAGAAGTGAACCACCTAAGAAACAAAAAGGCATTGTGAAATGTGTGTATGAAAACTACCTCAAACTGAACGGGCTCAAAGAGTAGATTGGCTTGCCACGATGCCAGTGACTCCGATCCCTGAAAGTACCATATTCAAGTAATGGCATAAGATTGCAATCAANCCGTTAAAATATCGTGCCGATTTTGCAAAGTTATCTTTTAACACCCTAAAACCCAACTCAGAAGTAAACCACCTAAGAAACAAAAAGGCATTGTGAAATGTGTGTATGAAAACTACCTCAAACTGAACGGGCTCAAAGAGTAGATTGGCTTGCCACGATGCCAGTGACTCCGATCCCTGAAAGTACCATATTCAAGTAATGGCATAAGATTGCAATCAATATATGCGGTGCTGATCTAAATAAATACAGGCAGAAAATCAGCATTTAAAACCTGCTAATCTATTCATCCATCAACACCCTAATAATCACAATCCACAGCAGTGTGACCTCAGCTCCAGTAATATTAACAAACAACAACTAGACCGTACCTGAATGACAAAGAATCTTGTGCCACTTTGATCATCATCGCAAACGAACCACTCACAGGGTGATGAACGTGTTGAATTCAAATCATCTGCAACAGCCTGCTTCACTTCCTCCTTTGCAGCGACCACTGCTGTCACTGAGTCAGTGGTTGCCATTAAGGAGGCCACCTTTGCGTCCATCATACAAACATTATCATTGGTTCCACTTTCTCCTTCAGGCGGATCTTTAATTGACTTGGGTTTGAAGGATGTAAAGGGAAGGACGCTTGTTGTATGAGCATGCAGATACGAAGCAGCAGAGGCGGCAATCTGATAAGCAGTGGTGACACTTACCCTATTCCCACTAGTAGTCTTCCCCTCCTTCCTGTCCGCAGGCTCCTTTGGGCTTCCTTCTGCTTCCTGAACATCGGCTTCTGCCTTCTCTTTTTCAGCCTTTAGCACTTGTTGTTTCTTTTCCAATGACGAAGTAATGAATCGCAGTCCGTGATATTTCAGGAGATTTCCTGGCTGTACAACCAATAAGATGAAACGAAATCTCCATTCATACTATTTATCAAAAATATTAAATTTAACATATCTAAGTTTGTCTATAAAAGCAAAATGTTGTGCACTAATGTGATAACAAATCTACTCTAAGAAATATAAATTTAGCCTATTGCTTTTGTTACAGGAATTATAATAGTTGTGGTGAAATTGGGCAGCCTATAACATTCTACTGTCTGGCCATGCCATCCGTATACATAGATGAAAGAGATCCAAGTTTCACCCAAAAATTTCAACCAATCATCAAAAGCCTAGAACAAAAGAAAATTAGGTCTATAGGGTAAAACTCGATCTGAAACTGTAAGAAGACAAATATCGATCAATCTCATTTCTAACGAGACAGAAACCCATNACCTCCTCCATAGGAAGTGTTCACTTATATGGCAGGGGAGGAGACGATTCTCTTCCGATGTGGGATTGCCTTAGGAAAAGATCCTATTGGCGAAGAGAGGTAAAGGCTACTGTATTGCCTTAGGAAAAGGTGCAGGCCAAAATCCTTTCGGAGGGAGGGAATCCTGTCCACCAAAAGGCACCTTTCTGTAAGGGGTAGAACCCTCTACTAAGGATTTCGGCTTGACCTGGGTTAACCCACGCGGGCGACCCCCCAGTAGCCTTTACCTCTCTTCGCCAATAGGACCCTTTCCTAAGGCAATCCCACATCGAAAGAGAGTCGTCTCCCCCCTGTTTCACTTATATGGCAGAGGGGAGACGACTCTCTTCCGACGTGGGATTGCCTTAGGAAAGGGTCCTAGTGGCGAAGAGAGGTAAAGGCTACTGGAAGGTCGCCCGCGTGGGTTAACCCAGGTCAAGCCGAAATCTTTAGTAGAGGGTTCTACCTCTTACACCTAGAACAAAAGAAAATTAGGCCTATAGGGTAAAACTAGATCCGAAACTGTAAGAAGACAAATATCGATCAATCTCATTTCTAACGAGACAGAAACCCATTTACCAATTCCTTCAATTTCACAGAAATCAAACAACTTATACATGGCTTTCTACAAATTTTCAACATTTCATTCGATGTAAAATTCATCAAACAACCCAGCGGTATAAAAAAAAGTTGTTACCATCCAAGACAAAAGAAATCTGAAAATCCGTAGATGGTGTACCTTGATTTGGGGAATGGAATAAGCCAAGTTCCCTAAATACGACATCTGAGCATACAACCTTGCTTCTGCCAACGACACCCTGCGAAGCAGCTTTGAAAACGAACCCCTGTTGAATTCAATCTTGTCGTCATCATCAACTGTACATACATTACATTCTTCATCACCACCACCACCATAACATTCGCTGCTGCCCAGATCATTTTCATTATCATTCACCACGCCGGTTTCTTCCTCTTTTTCCCCCAATCCTTCACCGCCACTTTGCCCTTCGTCCTTCCACAAAGCCCTCACATGAAGAATCTTCGACACCCAATTCCCATTCTGTCCATCATTCCCACTCTCACCTTCAATAACCCCTTCTTTTTTCTCTTCCTTTTCATCAACCAGGACAGCGTCATCCAGCGCAATGGCATCGTACCTGTTTCGACCTCCAGGCCACAGAGATCTGAGTGGGTACCTAAAAGAAAACCCCCAAGGCGCAGTTCTTTGAGGCGGCGCCGACAACGACACAGAAGGTTTGTCAACCGAAATCGCATTGGCAGCCGGCGTCGCAGAATGTCCCACCGCGGCGCTAAGGTGGGCTGAAGTTGTACGGACGTCTAAAGCTCCCCCGGCGACCGGGATCGCTGAAGTCACCCCATGAATCCCTGCCTTCAAAAAGAGACTATCCATCTTTTCACTACTACTTCTGGGTATGCCTCTCTTTCTTTGTGGTATTTGTATATGTATATAGAGTTTCAAAGGAAAATCAGGGAATGGGGATCAACGCTAACGTACGACGCCGACGATCAGGCGTTAACGTGCACTACAATTTTGAATTTGAGTCCTTTTCTTTGACGAATTTCAGAGAGAGAGAGAGAGGATTTAAAGAAGAAGAAGGGAACCGGTTTGTTCTGCGTTTCCAACCAAGCAGGTGACCAACTTTCACAGCTTTCTCTCCCACGGCGATATTTTTGCCCAACTGAATGCAGATCCCTTCTGACCAAAAAATAAAAAAAATGCAGATCCCTTCTTTTCAGGAGGCGACGGACACTAAACGTTCCAAACGACGTCGTCGGAAGTTGGAANTGCAGATCCCTTCTTTTCAGGAGGTGACGAACACTAAACGTTTCAAACGACGTCGTCGGAAGTTGGACCTATAATTATCTTTCCTCTGCCCCACGACGTCGTTTCCAATTCGTGATGGTACCTTCGTCGTGTCGGGTAAGTCCAGCTGTTTCGCACAAGGAAGCGCGTGTGGGTTGTGTGAAGCCCACAATGGGGACGTGTGCATAAAGCTCCTGTTTTTCTCTCTTTCCGTCTCTCGGTAGGTTTGTAAGTTTGAGTTTGCAATACATACGCCCCTGTACCTTAACAAAACAAATACACGTTGTCTGACACGGACACGTGTCCGGTAAGTAAATCCTAACGTTAAGAACAGTCTTATACAAAATTCTAGTTTAAATTTGATTTGGTATTTTTAAGATTCTATCTGGAATGAGTCTTTGTCCCAAAAAAAAAAATAAAAAAAAAAAATCTGGAATGAGTCTCATCGCAATTCAAGTTCCAGCTGTTTAATATTTCATACAGGCGTCTGACTTTCTGCAATGCATGGGTGATTTCTTCAAATGCAGAGTTATTGTTAGTTATTTTATAAGTTACCAAAATTTTGTAGAAACTATTAGATTGAGAATTTCATGTTGTTAAAAAAAATAATTACGTGGTGGTTAGAGAGAATTTATAGATAGTTATTCATATTAGTTATTCTAGTCATTTGATAGAATATGATTGGAGAATGAGAATTTAATAATTAAAAATTCTCAAAAAAATAAAAAAAAAGTGGGAGGAAGGCTTCTCGAACTATCTTTGTAAGAAATTGTTTGTTTTATATAGATAACCTTTAGATGCTAATTAGNGTGGGAGGAAGGCTTCTCCAACTATCTTTGTAAGAAATTGTTTGTTTTATATAGATAACCTTTAGATGCTAATTAGATTTTCAAGGTTGCATTAGGTATCCAAATGTTTCTATTTTTTTTTATGTTTTTATTTTCAATTTTTGTCAAAAATTAAAAAAAAAAAATGTGTTTGTGATGTGCTTCTATTTTTTTAGCAACTCTTTTTTAAAAACAAGGCCAAAAAATGAAAACATAAAAAAGACATTTTTATAAACACCTAAAAATAAAAATAGGCACTCTCCATACTGGGATTAATGAGATTTCGGTTTCGATCCTCCTTAGCAACAAAAAAATGAGTTTTCTTGATTAAGCATCAAAATTCCTCCCCTTTCATTCCCTCTTTTTCCCGCCTCTCTTTTGTTGGCATCTTGCTCTCTCTCGCCTCTATTTGATTTTTTTTTTGTTTGCGATAGTTAAGTAGTGAATTTTCAAGTGTGTTGGTGGTGGGTTTTCGATTGTGTTGATGGTGATTTTGAAATGGTGAAGATGTTGATGTTGGGTGGTTGGTTTTCGAATAGTGGAGACGTTGGTGTTGGATGGTGGGTTTTTGGTGGTTGAGTGGTGGGGTTTCAGGGATGTTGATAATGGTTTTCGTTGGGTTGGATGGTGAATTTTCGGTGGTGTATTTTGGAATAATGGAGACATTGGTGTTAGGTGGTGGTTTTGTGATAGTTGTGTGGTGCATTCCTAATTGTATTTTGAGGAACAACATATTTGAGATTAAAAAATTAACTAAAATAACCGAAAACACTATTATAGCAAACATGCTTATTATTTTTATTTTCACAATTTTTTAAATATAAATAAATATCAAATATATTTTATATTTTTAATTTTTATCATAGAAAAAAAACAAAAAATTTTACCAAATGCACCCAAGTCAAAAGCTCAAAAAAATTACTAAAAAACTTATGCATTAACGTATGGACTCAAACCTAAATGTGTGACCAATGAGTCCTGGAAATTCATGAATTTAAATTGTGTATAAAGTGGGTGGGTAGGTGTATGTATGTATGGACCACAAAGTACGGGTGAAATTCTTTAAATGTTGTTGAACGAACGACTTCTGATGAATCTTGTCGTTAATATCTACATTTCTGGTTACTAATAAATTCATTAATTGTTGTTGGGCCTCTCAGTGAAAGATCTTAAGATTGGGCCCCCACCTAAGCTAGATAGCATCACCAGCCACGGGGAGTTGCACACTATGACAGTCGAACAAGTTATTTAAACGCATAATTTGATTATTATTATTTTTTAAAATTAATATATTTTAATTTATCAAAAAATAAAAATATAAAAGATATCGTTGAAGTCTCGATATACTAAACAAAAAGCATTGTGCTTAATCCAAAACCTTTGGAGTTGGAATATTTTGTTTTAAATACTCTGAAAATTAATACGTTTGACGTTTTTCAAACTAAACGAAATGGAAATTTAATTCCATTTGCAATGTGAAACAGTTTTATTCTTCAAAGGAAATTCACTCTATCTATGTGGTATGCTCCCCCTAGAGCTTTTTGTGTTTTAGATTTGCAATAATGGTGCTCACACTATAGTTGTATATGACCTTCTTTTCATTATTGAATATGATACAATTATAATCGTTGAATTTTAGTAGATTCAATAAAATTTATTGATACAATAGTACGCATTGATGTAGAGTACAAAAATAGCATGCTAACGTCTTTCTTAAGGGTGCAACTCTAGGGGTTGGGATGGTCCATTGGTTAATCAAATTTCACCCAATTTAGAAAACATTCATTTTGAATCTTCACCTCGAATATTGTTCATGTTTATATTTTTAAATTCAAGTTAAACTCAAGTGACACACCCTATTGCAATTCAAATTGAAATCGGGATCAATTTAGATTAATTCTCGAGTACTAGAATTTTATTTCAAGTTCACTTTGATTGAATCCGAGGTTGATTCTCAAGTTATACAATTTGGTATATAATTGAGGTTCAATGTTGGTGGAAGTTGGGTCAACTCGGGTTCAAATATTGACTCTTCGGGTTGAACTCAAGTTAGCCCAACAAATAGCTCTGTTGGCTTAAACCGTCAATCTGGTTCGAGAAACGTCTCTACTTTATATCATATGAGCACTTTTTTTCTGTGCCAGAAGCACATCTCTTTGGAAGTCTTTACCAAATAAATCCCATCTCTTTCAGAGGTACTCTCTCTTTCGATGCTTCGTTTTAGAGTTTCTTCACTAACCGATTTATATATGAATATGAATTATATTGCGACTCTGATGTTAACCTAGATTTTCTTTGTTTTGGTATTCAATTCCTTATTTTTTTTCGTGATCTTAGTAAGAGGCAACAGCTTTATAATGAGCAATCCTATAATGAATAAAAAAATGTCAAAAAAAATGGACCAAATGACGTGAACTAACGTGAGAAAAAAATTTAAACTGAATGTCAAATCTATATTAAAAATAGTCTTGAAATTTATTTTGTTGAAAATGAAATTGAGTTTTAAAATTGCGATCAAAGAATCGAACGTTAAATTTACTCTTCTTAGTACTTTTGAATCCTATTTTTTGATGATTCAGTTACTTTTTTAAAATTTTGTTTGATGCTAATAGAATTGAAGTGGATTGGAGAAGGAAGTTGCTGTGCATGGAATGTGAACAACTCCTCTACAGTAAGGAGTTTTTCAGAAAGAATTTCATTTTATTCCTCCTTTGTTGAGCAGTGCAGCACATGATGTACAGTTCAGAGATGATCCCAATGTATAAGTTGCTCTGCATATCACATTCTACCTTGAAATGTATATGTTTAATTACAAAGTAATATTCGGGTTATTGAACTTTCAATAAGCACAATGGTCTTAGGTGTTTTGAGTATAGTGTGATTTGCTATAATCATTTGTTAANGTATTTCCCTGACCCCGAGGGACCAGCCGGTGGATTCTCGGGAGCAGGGCGACGACGAGGCATCTCTAAAAGAAAAGGAAGAAAAAGGTATTTACTCTTGAAAACCTGAGGGAGTTCCCCGAGGGTTTAAATCTTGACGTACCGACCGGATGACACCACCGTTCAACCGGAAAACAAAAAGGCTAGGAGGACGATAAAGAAGAAGGTTGTGAAACTCACCCGAAACGTCGAAAACGGAGTTTTTCAGGAAAAACTTTAAAATGACTCGCACCGGAAAGTCCAGGAGTCAACAATGGGTTTACTGGCTCTGTGATTTTGAGAGAAAGAGCAGTCGACGATGGCAGAGGAAACAAGAACTCCGGCGAAAAGATCAGGAATGGCGTACTCTGGGTCAAAGATCGGAATGGCAAAATGATGGAAACCAGAGAAGAACCCCCTTTATATAGGGGGAAATTGTCATCATTGGGCGGGAGAACCAAAACAGCGCATTTAATGCGCACGACGTCCCAAGCCGGGGAAAGCTGCTCGAGGCCATAATGAAGGACGGATGGCAGTTGGAAAACCCTTCGTCTCCTTACAACGCGTGTCCTCGGTGTCAGAAGATCGAAGGCTGGGGGGCAGTTGATGGGACTCTTCTGAAAAACCCTATGATGAAGACACGTGTCCTCGGGATTTCTGGAACAGTGTTTCTCGCATTTATGCACNTTTGTTCAATAAATTGACGGGATGTATAAGTTTTTCGTGTTGCTCTCTTGCTGCTCATGCATCTTAAACCTTCTGATGGGACTCTTCTGAAAAACCCTATGATGAAGACACGTGTCCTCGGGATTTCTGGAACAGTGTTTCTCGCATTTATG